CCCCCACACCCCCACCCCGTGTCCCCGGAGAGAACCCAGGGAGGGGGAAGCAGCAGCGCACGGGGTCAGCCAGGTCCTGCCGCGCTTGGGGGACGCGCACGAAATGGAGTCGGGTTTTTCCAGGCTCTGGCAATGCTCCCCAAAACCCTCTGCTCCCGCCGGCGGGTGGGATGGAGACCCTCCTGCCCGGGCATGGAGGGGCTGGGGGAGGCGAGGGGCCGGGAGGGATGTGGGGTGCCCAAATCCTGCCCAGGCCAGGGGCCGCTTTCCCAGCTCGGGGTTTGCTGCTGGGCAGGGTGGTTGGACACTGGTGCTGGACCCGGTTCCATCACGGATGGTCACCTATAGCTGTCGCTGTGGGACCAGCAAATAAATCCCAAAGCCCAGGGCCACTCTGGCCACCGCCAGGGCGGTGACCGGGTCCAGGAGAGCACACAGGGCCACCGTGTCCAGCAGCACCCATCACCAGCACCCCAGGGTGGCCCTGGCCACCCCCAAGCTCTTGGGTGAGGACACCGACCGCTTGTCCCTTGGTGTGGAGGCCAGTCCTGGTCGAGGCGGCGTGTCCTGTGTGCATGAGCATCCGTGTGTGTGGGCATCCACGCGTGCGCGTGGACACGGGTGTTTGCGAGCATGGATGCCTCTGTGCATGGAGCACCCACATCTGCAGGCCCCTTTGTGCATCCACGTGTGCAGGTGTTGCACACACGGGTGTCAGTGTGCGTGTGTGCGGGGCGGCCATGTGCATGGGTGATCCTGTGGGTGGAGGCTCCTGTGGGTGGGCGTCCGTGTGTGTGGGTGTCCGTGTGCACGGGTGCTCCTGCGCATGTGTGTGTTGAGTCTCCATCAGCATGGGTGGCTCCGGGGGTGGGTGCTCCTGTGGGTGGGTGTCCGTGTGTGTGGGTGTCCATACGTGCATGGGCAGCATGTCCATGTGTGTTCATCTGCATGTGTGTCCATGTGCACGGGTGCTCCTGCGCATTTATGTGTTGAGTCTCCATCAGCATGGGTGGCTCCGGGGGTGGGTGCTCCTGTGGGTGGGTGTCCACGTGCGTGGGTGTTCGTGTGCGTGGGCAGCCATGCGTGTGGTGGGTTTCTATGACCGTGGGTGTCCATATGTGCACAGGCATCGTATGCATGTGTGTTCATATGCATGTGTGTCCACGTACACGGGTGCTCCTGCGCGTGTGCATGTTGAGTCTCCATCAGCGTGGGTGGCTCTGTGCATCCGTGTGCGTGGGTGTCCCTGTGTGGGCAGCCGTGTGTGTGTGTGTTCATGTGCGTGTGTGTCCGTGTGCACAGGTGCTCCTGCGCATGGGCATCCATGTGCACATGTGTCCATGTGCATGGGTGCTCCTGTGGGTGGGCATCCGTGTGCGTGGGTGTCCGTGAGCGTGGCTGTCCATACGTGCATGGGCAGCGTGTCCATGTGTGTCCATGTGCATGTGTGTCCGTGTGCACAGGTGCTCCTGCGCATGGGCATCCATGTGCACATGTGTCCATGTGCATGGGTGCTCCTGTGGGTGGGCATCCGTGTGCGTGGGTGTCCGTGAGCGTGGATGTCCCTGTGAATGGGTGTCCATGTGCATGTGTGTCCATGTGCACGGGTGCTCCTGTGCATGGGCATCCATGTGCATGTTGAGTCTCCACCAGCATGGGTGGCTCTGTGCATGGGTGCTCCTGTGGGTGGGTGTCCATGTGCATGGGTGCTCCTGTGGGTTGGTGGGTGTCTTCGTGCATGAGTGCTCCTGTGTGTGGGTGTCCATGTGTACGGGCAGCCACGTGCATATGTTTTCATGCGTGTAGGTGTCTGTGTGCGTGGGTGCTGGTGTGCGTGGGCACCCATGTGCGTGGTGGGGCTCTGTAAACATGGGTGTCCTCATGCACGGGAGCTGCTCCTGTGGGTGGGTGTCCGTCTGCGGAGATGTCTGTGTGCGGGGGTGTCTGGGAGGGGGTGTTGCTGTGGGTGGCTGTGCGTGTGTGGGGGTGTCCGTGCGTGTGGATGCTCCTGTGGGTGGGTGTCCGAGTGCACGGGCAGCCGTGTGCGTGCGTGTTCGTGTGCATGGGTACCCATGTGCATGGTGGGGGTCTGCCAGCATGGGTGACAATGTGCGTGGGTCCCTCTCTAGATGAGTGTCACTGTGCATGGGTGCCCCTGTGGGTGGGTGTCCCTGTGGGTGGGTGTCCATGTGGACGGGCAGTCATACGTGTGAACGTCCACATGTCATGGTCCCACCATCTCGGGGGGAGCCTGGGAGCACGTGTGGGGACCAGGGTCATGCAGATTTGGGACACCGGCACCCAGGAAAGTGGAGGGACAGGGGACAGCCCCTGCCCTCTTCGTCCCCTCCAGGGCCATGCTGGTGGGTGGGAGCGGGGCTCTGGCCCACCAGGGACTTGCCCAGGGAATAAATCATCCGTCTCTCCCTGGGGAGCCATGTCCCGCGGGGTGTCTCAGCCGGGGGGGGGGACACCCATCCCGCAGGGTCTGGTTCCTGTCCCCCCTGGGGACACGAGGCGAGGGGGTCCCGCTCGGAGGCAGTGCCGCAGGAGGAGGCTGAACACGAGCTCACGGCTATTTTTGGGCGTCTGCGATGACACCTTGGGGCCAGGGAGAGGGAGAAAGTGTCCCCGCGTCTCTCCTGGACCTGGTCATTTTGACCCAGACGTCCCCAAGATGGGGACACACACACTGCGGCCACAGGGTTCGGGGACACCCGATCCCCCCAGCTGGGACCCTCCACCGCCCAGGGACAGGGGCAGGCAGAGGCATGTCCCCAGGGAGCCGGGGGACAGGGGACACCGAATCCCATGGCCACAGGTGACCCCCAGTGCGCTGGGAAGGGACCGGGGGACACACTGGCCCTGACCCCGCGGCCACCGGAGCCCGAAGCGAGGGAAGATGTTTGGGGGGGGGCACATGCTGTGGGTCGCGTGGCCCCGTGGCTGTCCTTGTCCCCGGTGTCACACACAAAGAGCAGCACTGAGGGGACACTTGTGCGTCCCCACAGCCACAGGGCAGGGACAGGGTCACGTGTGTGTCCACACACACACAGAGGGTCACACATGTCCCCACGGACCCCTGGGTGCCTGACCCCCCCCCCCGGTACTTGCTGCTCCCTGTGCCTCAGTTTCCCCAGCTGAGTTTCCCTGTCCCCAGGACACAGTACCCTGAAGGACACTGCCAGTGCTGGTGTCCCCGGGTCCTGACCATGCCCCACCACCCACAGACCACGGGCAGCACCTGTGGCCCCCCCTTGTGGCTGCCATGGGGGGGCCACACGCCTGCTGTGCCCAGCCCTGCCCTGCCTCAGTTTCCCCATATCCCGCACCCTTTGGCTTCTCCGCACCGCCGGTGCAGAGGCTGGACACAACTCATGACACAATTGACCCACTCTGCTCTCCCCATCTTTGACTCAACCCAACTTGACCCTCCGCGACCAGGGGGGGCCGGACAGAGGTTGGTGGCCGATGCCGGGTGACAGGGGGGCCGGGGGCCCTGGCAGCGCTGCCGAGGAGTATTTCTGGAGCGCGGTTGTGCTCTTGCCAATCATGTGATGAGGACATTATTTAAGGCGGCTGCGAGGCCGGCAGGCAGCTGCGAGCTGGGCGGTGCAGTGCCACGCTCACAACCCGCCGGACCCCCGGACCCCCCCACACGTGTGTCGCTGTGTGTGCGTGTGTCCCCCCACCATGGTTGACGCCTTCGTGGGCACCTGGAAGCTGGTGGATACGGCCAATTTCGATGAGTACATGAAGGCGTTGGGTGAGTGGGGGGGAGGTTGTGGGGGGGAGGGATGGAGTCAGGACATCACCCCCCTTTTTTT